AGAGATAACCTTCATCTTCGGTATACACAACTTTCTTTTACATATTCCGTATTTTACTTATTAAAGGATGCACTTTTTTTTATCTTTTATCTTTTTTGTTGCAAGTCAACATTTAGGAAATGTTTGTGGTTAAAGACTTGAATAATTTGTCAGACTTCATGGAATTTTACAAAACTTGAATAGAAATGTTTTTATTTCAAAACCAAGAGACACTGAGCACAATATGGATTCTTTTTTTAATTTTTTTTTATATTGATAACGGGACTTCGTCAGCTTTTACACTGACAGCAGCAGGCGCAGGCGAGACACAAGCTTCCGTGGGACCCTTTATCATCGAATTATGCAAATATATACACTGATGAAATATGTAGATGTTACTATGAAGTTTATCTAGTAACAGGGAAATTCTGGCTGGTATAGATTTGTTGAATTAAATATTCAATAACTTTGTCTATAAAGTAAATGACTATCGGTCTATTATTTGTTTACTGGAATGGTAAGAAATTAAAAGGACAGTAATAAGCTTAGATAAATTCTACTATTTTTCAAAATTTATAAAGAATAAGAATATTTTATTGTTTTCTCACTGAATTCAAAAGTATATCATTGCTACCGTAATATACATTACATAAACCTGGGACTTAATACTATACATGTTATATTAGGTCCCACACAAAAGTATACACACACATATATATATAAAGCTATATGAAACGATACGACATTCTGTGATATGATTCAGCAGATATAATATATATATAAATATATATATATCACCCCCGCCCCCCACACACCCAAACAAAGATCATATAAGACATGTTATCTCTAAATATATATAACATTTGCAAAACAAACCCGCTTTCGGAAACACACCCAGAAAAATGGAACGTGCATGGGATCTCCCTACTCGATTATACTGTTGTGTACATGACATTTCTTGTTTTCTACCTTCAATAGAATATTGGTACTCAATTCAAACAAAAATGAACAGGCGCGTAATCAGCACAAAACTGCAATTAATGAGCTTTTCTATAGGAGGGTGTGATTCAGAGTATCATCCTATTACAATACTTTTAAAACCGATATGTAAAATGTAATTTATATGTTTATCCATATATAAACCAATTTTAAAATTCAATAAAAACCGCCAAAAACATTGGTCATAAGTTTACTGTATCTAGCAGAATCTGTAAGTATTCACTAGGTGATAAGTATGTCACTGGAACACAATTGATACGAGATTACATTACTCATTACTAACTTATAATTACCAAGAAGTAATACATTATTCGCCTGCAGGAATGAATGAATACGGAGCCGAAAATTATATCTTTCCAATGAATAAAGTAAAATTCCAAAGTCCTATTGCCATAATTTAAGTCACAGAGAGTGGACCCACTATAAAACCGGACTCCTATATATTTGATCTGCTACAATACTTGTTGTACAACTTTAAGATATACCGAATATCTGCTCGAGTGAGCTACAAGGAATTTAAAATATCCTTTTTATGAAGAGTTTAAGTCTGATGGCTGTTTTAAGATTAAAATGGTTCAACCAAACATTACTAATAAATATTTATAGACATATATGAAACAAGTAACGCATTTTCCCATGTTGCTCCCGAAAATGTGCCACGTCAAAAGTAGTACAGTTGATTTAGATATTCAAACCATGAGCTAGCACGAGTATCCAGTTTAAAACCTATTTACTGAGGTTTATATATATATATTTTTGGTATCTTTTCTGATGTTCCACACACTTCGTCAAGCCTTTGTTCCCTTACTGTTTTTCTTCTTTTGCATATTATTTCATTTGTTTATTATCAATGTCTTCGTATGGTTACACTTTATTTGAAAATATGTATAAAGTTTCTGTAGATGAAAGTGAATTCCTTTGTAGGATAGAATGTTATTTTTCGTGAAGTTTCAACGCATTTGTACTTTTATTTTAGACAAATTATGAAAATTTATAATTTTCCCTGGCACTAATCTTATGGTTAAGTCGGCTTAATATATTCCAATTTATTCATTATTTACAGAATTTTGATATTCATAAATTAAAAATGTCAGTGATCTGTTCTCACTACTGGATACTTAATATATAGCATACATATACTGTAGACTAGTCAACTTCTGGAATACTGGAAATATATAGCATAAATAGACAGTAGTCCAATTTACATTCCAACATTAGTCAGGTAAAAAAAATAAAAACTAAAAAGTTATAAAACAAAACAATACTGCGCTTTAACAAATGAATAACATAAGTCCGATCAAAAAGGAATAAATATAAAATGTTACAAAACAAAACAATTCCGCTTCAGTAGGGAATGATTTACGCTCACTGATTCTTTAATAAAATAAAAGTAACATGACCTTCATGGGCGGTATACATGGCTATCAAATCCGTTTCGCTGATTTCTTTCATCTTTTTCTATCGATTTCTATGAAATTTTAATTTCATCCACCCGTCGTGAATGTGAATGAAACATATTTTTTTCACTTTAATATTTCTAAATAGAAGTTTAAATAATATTTATCTATTTATTAAGGTTAGCAATAAAGTAACTGTTAAAAATTCTTAATAAGAAAAAATAAGAAAATAAAACAAAAAACGATACATTTAAAAAAACTGAAAAGGGGAATAATAATTAAAAAAGCACCAAGGGTAGAAAGACATGTCATTTTGAGTAGCGCTAATTGTTGCATCAATATCGCTTACGGATAACTTTTCTGCTCGAACCTCGGCCATTCGCAGAAATGTATCTTTGTGAGGAAAAGTTGTGTTTTATAAGTATTTTAAAAATTTAAAATTGAGAATGGAAATGGGGATTTTTATCTATTTGCTTATTATGACATACACAAACAAACACACACACACACACACATATATGTTTAATTTTAATCTCCAACGTCTGATGAGAGAAAAGGCCGGGTCTAAATATTGCCTGAAAACATGTCTGTTTTTATCTCGATTGCCTCTTCCGAGTGAAAATATCCCCAAAAAGATGTAGTGTGTTTAGGCTTCCGAGAAGAGATTTTGCAATGCTTTTGGATGAACGACAATTTGGTAAATATGGAAAGCAGGGCGGATTGCAAATTTGGAACAATCGGCATATTTATTAAAAAATTTTACCTGACCTTTTAAGAATCCGTTGCTAATTCAACAAGGAATTTTTGTTTATTTTTTTTCTAGTTTGGTCAGAACAAGGATTTGTATAGTGAGATCTCTCTATACAAATCCTTGGTCAGAATATTTATTTTCAACGTTTAGGGATCATAATATTTATTTAAAAAAAAAACTGCCATACCCTCCGCCTCAGAATCAAATGATCGTCCCCTCTTTTTTTGTTTATATTTTTATTAGTTTCTTTATATGTAAAAATAATTGTAAAGTAAGAAAAGAACAACACCAAAACTATAAAACCCAAATAATTTATAATTGTTATAATGTTTTCATATTCAGTTATATAAGTATGTGAATTTGAATTATAGTAAAATGAAATATATGTCAATACGTTTGACCTCAGACTACTATTACACAGGTTTTATCGTTCTATTTTTTTTCAGAATAATTTTAATTGACTTTTGTTTAATTTTATTTTTAATAGAGGAATTAAAAGATAAACTTCGTCTAATATTTCAACTAAAGGATATTAATTGCTTACCATAGGTTTATAAACAGTTGCCCTGATAAGAAATTTAGAAGACGATATTGGTAAACAACTGGAATAAACATTTCCAGATTATTTGAAAGATGATATCCTTGATGTTTTCTTGTAAACCACGTACTCTTTAAATCTACATTCAATAGTTCTCACAAAATTTCAGAAAAATGCATAATGCATGCGATGAGTCTCTGATTATTCCGTTTTCCCCGGAATTACTTTACCTGTTAAGGAAAAGGCAAAATACAAAACACATATCATTAATTTCTGATGACCAAAAAGTATAATTTTCCTTGTCGCATCCACTAGATGGCGATAGTTACAAGACAAACAAATTGTAAACAAACTAGACTGAATGTTCAATCTGAACTGCCATATAAGGTATCACAAAGGCTTGCCGACAAAGATCAAAGGAAACCGACGGAATGAGTTTAATACAAAAATTCCAATTTCTCATATAACACATTTCACTTTACCGTTGAAAATGACAAATCCTTTGTTTAAATAATTACTAATACACAAAAAATATAAGATTGAAGATATAATTTGAACAAATCAATGAATTTTTCTCCCTGAACACTTGACCTTTAGGGTGCAAGCCCATCTATCGGATCGTTGAGATTTGAGATAAACAGGAGATCAAAGGTTCTGTGTTAAAACATTATATGTTAAGACGCACAAGAAGAATGGAGGCTATTTAAACTCTTTTCGTCCAGGACAGTTTGAATAAGTCCATACGAAGTCCATTTTATATATGACTTAAATAAATTAATTTAAATTATAATAATTTATATCATTTAAAATATCAGTTTTATATAACCGTTTTCCTATGACATTTCATCTTCAAAAAGCTAATTTTCTTAATTTAACCCTAAAATATTTACTAATCACATCAAAATCAATTATTCCAGCAATCAAAACACATTGCAAAACGAAGGAGAAGCACACATCATTTTTTCATTGCACTTGCACGCATTTACTTCAACTGTAGAGCTCTAACATCAAAGGGAAGGTACCTGGGGGCAAACTCCTCTGATATTTAAAATCGAATTACTTATGTAAATAATGACATGATGTTTGCAATTATTGCATAAACTAAGTAATAGCATGGAACTATTTTGGATGTATTAATCAATTTGAAAAATAATTTAATTTATTTCGTACTTTTTTTTAGGAATATATGTTCAGCAAAGTTGATTTTATTGTTTCAAATATCAAATTTAATAAATACGTGTCCCTTTCGACGACCTCTATCGTGCCGAACCTATTTTGTAAGCCGAGATTTGATTGGCTGTGAAGTAAAGTGCTCGTTGCCAATTGGGTACTTTCCCATCTGAATGTCTTCACAAGTTATTCATGGCGGAAACCAAACGTGTATGGGAGATAGTGGCACAAAAAAGAGTGGGATTTATTTAGGTTTTTGGTGAAATGACAATGCCGCATGTGAACTCTGGCGGCTCAGAAGACTTCTTTTCAAATGACGAAGTGAAAGTGTATAAAGATGAAGGGGAAGAGGAAAAGAGATCATCTGAAAATTTATCCGAAGACAAATTAGGCTTAGTAACGGAAACCGAAGAGGTTCGTAAAAATGTTGATTGAAATAATTACATCAATGGAGGAATTACCCTTTGATCTAACCATGTGATACGTTATACATCAACGAGGATATTTGCTGCAAATATAAGGGAATTTTGTTTTCTTTGCAGGGTAAAAATGGTAGTTTGGGGAACGGATACGACGGTGACAAAACAGAAAACGGGCGAGAAGATGGTAAGTTTTAATCATAATACATTTCCCTTTGATCTTTGTTAAGCAGTACACCGTTCTATTTTTATCTCATGATAATATTATGGTCGCTTTACGACTCTGTTATTTATTGTTTCGGTTAGTTATTATAAGAAAATGGAACCTCCTATTCAAAACGTTGTGTTGGTCAGTGAACTGTAAATTTATTTACTACTCGTAACAACAGTTTTATTCACTTGCACTTTTATTTATAAGATGATTCATAATTCAGGTTTTTGATTATGTTTACACTTCAGTTAATAGAGTCAAGTTTGATCCTCCAATTTTGAATTGTTTGGGAATGAACACCATTGGGTCAGATAAGCTTAGCTGACCAATGGTCATTGAGAGTGGAAGTTGTTTATTGTACAGATAATTAGATAATCAGATCACAGTCTGTCAGATTTGATTGAAATCACAACACATGTCAATTAAATATGTTAATTGTTTTGACAACAATATCCTTTCTGTCTAAAATCCATTATCTTTTGTTTTCACATACAAAAGGCATTTGATTCATTTAGTTTAAAAGTTAATGTGAGGGCAAACAAAACAACAGTTTTCCCATTCCTTTTAAACTGTTAAAATGTGGAATATTAAAAGAAGTGAAATTCTTACCAATAGATTACCAATGATACAGAAAAAAACTTAAATTGTTATTAACAATTTTGTGCTGATTGAGTCCAAATATTATATATATCTACATAACAGAAGTGTTTTATAGAAATATATTCCAGAAGACATTGATGAATGATCCATAGTTATATCGAAAAATTATAGACTAAAGCGCTTTGAATTGATATATATACAGATAGAAATATTTTATTGAAAAGTTTTGATAAACTTAAGAAAGTCTTTTTTTGTCATTTTACAAAATGTGCATGTTGGGTTCAATTTTAATAATTATCATATTATTACTGTTATCAAAGATTTGGACTTTCCTATGATCCCTGGAAAGTTGTTATCTTCAGTTTTAAATTTGAGAGGCAACTAGACAAAAACACTGTGAACAAAAGAAATAGTAAATATCTTTGGGTTTTTTGTTCAAAAAGAAGATATATTTCTATTGTTGGTTTGACAACTTTAAATTAATTATAAGTGTAACCAAGCTGAACATGCCCTCCAACCAAAGAATAATCCTTTATATACTGATGGATCTTAATACAAAAATTAGGTCTAAAATGGCTTTTTTGAGAACATCTTGAAAAAAGGTAAATTCCTTGGGGACATATAATAGTGACATTGTGTAATAAAATTATACAATTTTTAAACAAAAACATCTACATATTATTACAACACAATTCAGCCTTTCAATGGCCAGACAAAATCATTCAGTTTTTTTTTAATTAGGTGCAAAATTTGAAAAAAAATCTTTTCTTGAAAACCTAAAGTCTAATGTACTCATTCGAACAGCAATTTTTTATTTATGGTATGTTTATTCCTTTGATAAATCAAGTTAATTAATAAATTTCAAAAATTGTCTAACTTTCCAAAATTAGCCTTGTTATGAGCTGCTAAGGGACTGTGCTTTGGTGCATCTGAAACTTGTTTGTTTACAATAATCTGTATTCTGTCATCATAATGTAGTCATGTAGATGTTGACAATGGGCGGACTTCATTTACTGCCATTGTTTCTGAGGGTATATGATTAAGTTGTCAACAGTAATTGACAGATGTTTACATTCAACTGGTACTGACAGTCTGCTTCAGAAGACTTCAAAATATGATGTTCAAATTCCATACAAAATTTGTAGACAAAACTTTTCTAACAAATAAAGCGAATAAAAGGAGATTTTGGCTAAACAGCAAAACAAAAATAACACAATAATTAGCAAAAAACATAAAAAAAAAATTTGGCAGTTGATATGTACAGTTTGCAAATTTCAGTGGTTAGGAAACCAGGCAGTTGTCTCAGAAAAATACAATTCATATATATATATAAACACAAAGCTGAAAACACAAATCTTGAATTAGGAACCAAACTGAATTCTCTCTGTATGTAAGTAATTGTTTGAGACATCAATCAACTTTTTAATGAACCAGTCTATCCCAATTTGAAGAACTTTATCTCTACTTTCACAAATTTTGAATAGAAAAGTTTAAAATTCATAAGCATTGTCAGACTAAGCATTAATCATGGGATTTTGGACTTTAGGGCTTCTAAAGCATTTTTCACTCCAGTTCTAAGTTGGATGTTGGTTTTGAGGACTGTGTCATGCAGTGTCATCTGCATGTAACTCAATTATTTTTCATACTGCCTTTGTTTTGCTTTGTCAAAGTTTTTAGCTTCTAATTATTTTGAAGAAAAAAATCATTTAATCTTGTGAACCACAACATCAGCAACAATCGTTTGAAAGAATATCATGGGTTTATGTTGGTTGCTATTCCAACCAATAAGGAATGGTCTTATTTAAGATTTTGGCAAGTTTAATTTTAAGATATTCACTTAAATGACTGCAGGGACTTTCTCAAAATAAGCTACTTTCAAACAAAGAAGAGTAAAAGTTTTTACTTCCCAAGATTTTAGTTTTTCTTGCATTGGTGAGTAGGGGAGCACCTTATTGGAACACTGATATGTATTGATCTATAGTTTTCTTGTAGTACTGGGGTTTGTTGACAGTGGTCTAAGTAGGTCATTTGCAGTGCTCACTATATAAAAATAAGGAGATGTGGTATGATTGCCAATGAGACAACTATCCACCCAAGTTCGAATGAAGTGGATGTAATCAAGTAGCCTGTCAACACTGATGTTGTGAGTTCAAACCCACTTGTGGCAACATGCATTGGAATCTGATCTTAATTAACTAGGATTGCCAGTTTTCTTGCAGCTGGTTGTTGATTCTCTCAGTTTACTCCGTCTTCCTCCACCGATACAAACTCCCATCATGATAAAACCTTGAGTACTGATAGTGGCTAAAAACAAGTATCAATAATTTAAACACGTTCAGTCTTCCATCCATCACCCTGGACCATGGTTTTAACTGAATTTGTCATTTAAAGGATTTTAGCTTATAGGCTTTGTGGCACTTCATTCTTGCATCCAGTCTTCACCTAACAATGTCCAACAGTCAAATACTTAGCAGCTTTCCATCAATTTGAATTCTTCAATTTTGATTCAAGCATGTGTAATAATCATAGTTTTATATGTATTAAAGGAAAAGTCTAGGAAAACAATGTGACCCATTGATCATTAAATTCAACGTTTTTGCCATGGCCATTATTGAAATGTGTGCAATTTCTCAAGAATTCACAGTGAGTTGCAGCTCTGGATCAGGAACATATATTTTGACTAAATATATATTGTTAGATATACTGTTCCAAGTCTGGATATTTGATTTATTTTGCATTTTTAAATTATTTCCCCTGCAGATTTAGATTTTTCATTAATTTTAAAGAAGTCAAAAAGTACATTTTGAATAAACGGCATTCATTAAAGAGAATTAACAAAATATACTGGACTAGACCATGCTTTGTAGATGATGTAAGCCATTCTGCCATAAGAAAAGCTAGGATATGTGATTATGTATACTGACATTGCATTATTTAGGCTATCATCACCAGAGACATATTAATATGACCATTTCAACTTTCCAGCTTGTTTAACAAAGTAATTTTGGCATGCAACATGTTTGACATGTTAATATTTCTTTGTTTGATATGATCCATGACCTAGTTTGAGTATCTCATTCATAGTGAAGGGAACAAGATGTAATTTGGAAATTCTGTGAAGAAATGCCATTTTTTTCTGAAAGGCCAAAACATTTATAGTTGTGTTTCCTGCCAACCTGCCTAGCATAAGTTTTCATGCTTTTTCTTACAAATTTTATGGCATTTTTGGTAAAGCTCAGTTAAAAGAAGATACATTTTACCTACCTACCCATCCTATTTGTTCTGCCAGGAGGCAAGTTTCAAGTTAATTTATGAAGTATATTATTTAGCCTTCATAAGAAAAAATATGTAGGACCAGCAATGGATATATATAGTCTAAGTTAAAGAAAACTGTTTTAGAAATTTTACATGGACAATATATAGGAAACAAGATATATATTCTCAACATTTTATATTGACTGTATTTGTTATGTTGAATGAAGCATGTTGGGGCATAATCCTGTTACTTCTTCCTACATTTTATTGCCTGGTCGTCATTTCAAAATTTATACTGATCTTACATTTGAGAAAATATGCCTGATGTCAAGAGCTGTATATGCTCATAGCTTATGCAATCATTTAATGTCTCCATAATGTTCTGCCACCAAAAAAGGATAATTGACTATTCATAGTAACTTTATTGAAGAAAATTGAGAATGAAATGTCTTCAGTCAGGCTTTTTTGTTTTAAAGTCTTAAATGGCTATATATGCATCCTGTTTGCATGTGATGTCTGTCTGCCTGTCTGGCTCACAGTCCATCCATTTACTGTGCTACATCAGTGGTCACTATTGAATGTGGATAGATTTGGAACATCACTTGCAATGTCAATATAAAATTATAAATACTTGAAAATTTCAAGCAAAGTTACAATATTGTTTCTGGTTAGGGTTACATGTAGAGTTAAATGTAATCCTGTAAGCTTGTTAGCACATTAAAAATCTGACTCAGAGTGTCAGTCTAGTACAAAGCACGGTTCATGCTTATTTCAGCATGTCCGCATGTCATCGGGGTTTTCACTGGGTTGTCTGATGTATACTCATTAATTCAACATCTTTATTTTATAATATACATTTTGATAAATGAACATTAAATTAGCATAATATTTTCTATTTAAATTTATAGATGAATGCAATAATACTTTCTTACTGTTCCTTTTTTGTGGATTTCTGAGCGCCATTATTTATATTTGTATCTAAAACATTAGCAGGCCGGATTTGTCTTCAATCAGTTTATCTGATTTGCCATCTAGTTGAAGGTCTCTAAATAAAATCAGAGATTTTTCTTAGATTTGTCGGAGTGTCTTAAAAAAAACACCCAGCTTTTTAAACAAAAGTT